CCCCCCCCCCCCATAGACAAACTCTTTTAGTACTGGCCCTGTGTCTTATTTTTTTTTAATTCATTGTTAAAATGAGGGAGAATAAAGAAGTCCTTTTCCAGATTAAGAATTAGGAAACCAGTGCAAGCAAAACTTCTCGTTTCCTTTACTGGGAATAGCACAGCAACCTGCCTTTCTTATGACTCCCTTTTTGTGGCCTCATGCTCACTTACCCTTCTACTTAAACATACACAGGTTAGCCAATAATGAACTCTGATATACCATCTCCTATTATAGACCTTGTTGTATAGAAACACCTCCTTGTTCAGCCTGTGTGTAAAGGTTAGATCAGTGGGTCAGGTGGTCAACTAAAGCACCAAATCATTTGGCATGCCCCATCAGGCAGAGAAAAACAGCAATGGTCAGGTGGACCCCCCTGTCCCCAGTACACATGTTTGAATGGAGAGTTGTTTAGGATGCTTCGTTGCTACAAAAGTGTCCAGTTCTATTCTCTGTTCCTATGACTTGCCAACTCCAGCCAAATGTGGTGGCCCTTTAAACTTTTTTTTTTCTTTATGTCAGTGCTTTGTAGATGCTTGGGCTTCTTTTTACTGTAACTGCCTGTCCCCTAAACTCCTTTGTGAGCAGCCACCAGCATCACCATGGCTGCCCCTTTTTCCTTCCCTCTGCCTGTAAGGTTTGATGGTAATGAAAGATGAGAATTGTGCCTGGTAGATAGCGCATACCTCTGTCCATGCTTTTCTTCAGCTGATTAAGGAAAATTTAGCTTCAAATCCTCACATGCCTCCTCTACTTCTCAAATGCCTTTTCATTTTTTTTCCTCCTTTTGAAGTTCCACACACTCCTTCCTTTAGCCAGCAGTATCAAGTTGTTGACAGGTTCATCAGAAATGCAGAGCTGACCCCAGCAGTGAGGGAGAGGCCTGGTTTTCATTATCTCCCCAAAGCTGCTCTTGCAGATGCAGTTTTTGAGCCCTGCCACAGATTTTCCAAGAAATGCAGCAAATTCTTGGCTGCACTTAACAGAGATGGGGCCTAATCCAGAGCACTGGATCGGACTTGCCGCCTCTCCTGGGACTCAAGGAAATTGATTTCATGCTTCGTGGCCTGCACCTAGCGTAAAACAATCTGAGCAAGTTTATTTTTCTGATTTTTTTTTTTTTAATGACCATTGCAATGAGGTCTGTTCTCCTGCCAAGGTCTCCACCCACCAATGTAACAGTAATTCTTGTTCTCCACCGGGTGAAGGACACTTCCAGGCAAAAAGCAAAGTTTCTTTCCTCCCTGACCGTGCTGTGATATGTTCACACTGTGCCTTGGGGAATCAGAATCTGGTTTGTGGCCAGACTGCAAATTACCACAAGCCAAAAGGTTCACCTTTCCCAATTTTGTAAATGGCAGCACATTGTACATGTGAGGCCCAGCAGTACTTGCCCTGGAGAAACTGTTCAAGAGGGTTAGTAAATATAATCTGAAGCATATCAAGTATAGTACTGTGCTCCAGCAATCTCATCCCTTTGCGATCAGTGAGGCTATTATCCACCAGTGTGAGTTAGAGTAGTTCAGACTTGCATCTGGGCCAGTTTGGCTCCTTGCAGCTGCCAGAACCAGGGCAGATTGACTGGAAACAAGGCCAGTTAAATCCCTAGATGGAAAGCCTCCATTTAAATATTCAATTTTCATAAACTTTTACATGTTCTTATTGGCTGACATAAGGTACATTCTCATTGCTTGACATAACCATTAAAAATGGATATACTAATAGAGCTTTTCCCCTTGGCTTAATATATCCTTTTACTACCCAAAACGATTTGCTATAAATATGTACATTTATTTCAATAGTTATATAGCTTAATATTTTAGATTCTTATTATTCTTATATTCAGATCTTTATTATGGTTAGAAGTCTTTCCCCCATTCTTTCTTGCTGTAGACAAGCACACAGCCTGCAAATCAAAGATTTTTTTCTAGAGGCCTCTGAATATATTACATTCATTTTTATTTAAATGTTTAGTCTATTTTGTATTCAGTATGGTTCAGTACAGATTTTGATTGAAACAGGTTTACCTTTAAATATATATCTGTGTGTGTCCAGGATGAGGGCGCCATGGAAATTTATTTGTTATGGTTAATATTGCAAGCAAGTAGGCAGCTACATGCTGCCTCCGCTGCTGTGTGTGGTCTCCACGGGTTGCTGTGTTTGGAGCACATTGCAGCAATCCAAAATCATAAAGTTTTGGATCACTGTCATGAGGTACTTAAGAGAGAGAGAAATAAAGATGGATGCCCATGCTGGATAGACCAGTTTAGTACAAATCTTCAAAATATACTTATTAACCATACTGCCTTTGTGTAGATAAAGCCCAAGTAAATTATGTCCATAGTCACTTCAGAGTTTGTCACTTCCTCAGATGCCTTTTTTGTCTTTCATCCCTGTTTTTATCAAGAGCTGAATTTCTGGCGCTAGTGAGGAGTACCAGATTGTGCAACTTGGGAGCCCTGAAGATCACAACATTCAGCAACATATTCTGGACATACTTTGCAATGTCCACCACATCCAAAAGTCTCAGTCACCTCCACCTCCCCCATGCAGCTACGTGCTACGAAACCAGGGTGACTGCACCCTTTATTGTAGTGAAGATGCATACAAATGGCCATAGGCAGACAAGGTACTTTGGGTAAATCTCATACACAGTGAATGGGACAGGGTAAAAGAATAGGAGTGTATGCCCAATATGATGCACCGTCCTAAAGAAACATATTTAACATTGGTGTCCAACCTCATAACTGATTTTCACGGTCTTTGGCCAGATTCTGAGCTGAGTAACTCTGGTACAAACTGGAGTAAGTACCCTGTAATTGATGCACTACACCCATGTAAATACAGAATAAGGAAGCTCAAAGTCTGGTCCTGCATTCTTAACAACTTCTTTAAATCTCATTGCCCAGAGTGATTCAACAGCCTTGACCAAATTTAAGTTTGTAATGTTAAAATTACAAGCCCCTGATATGGATAGAAAGTAGTTTGCATTTGCAATACAAAAACATCCAAGCCTGCAGCTCACCTTATTCCCCCCTACAGCCCATCCTGTCTTAAAACTGCAAAGTGGCCAAGATGCTGGGATTGTCTCACCTCCCCCAACCTCCTACATTTCATTTTTAAATAGAGAATGTTGCCCCCCATCCTCATCCCCATTCAAGAGCTGTAGTCTTCTTAGCCTAGCTGTAACCAAGACTCAGGTGTTATGGCTGTGCTGTAAAGCCCTGGACAAATGTTCGTAATAGACATGTTGGGGCAATGCTGACCCAAGTTCTTACCTGTGCTAAAACAAAGTAATTCATAAACCACCAAGTGCACCATTTAATTGAGAGCAAGATCAACTGCTGATAAGGCTTACTATCACCAGAACAACCAAGGGAGCCTATTTGTCATGACACTACTTTGTAGAAATATTAGGTGAAGGTTGTTTTTGGCTCTTTGGGAGCCTGATCCAAAGATTGCTGAAATAAAGGACTACCATGAGATTTGGATTGGATCCTAAGTCATGTTGCAAACTCTGGGTGGGTGATAAAGGAGCAGATGACGTAGGTGAGTATTGGGTCTAAGGTAGAACTTAAGGACAAACACATAGTTAGTGCTGCTGGGTGCAATCAATCAGTGGTAAAAAACAGGTTCTCTGGACTTCAAAAGATTTAGCCCTTGCTCTGTATCTTTCTGTGAAGTTACTAGATTGCCTTGAGAGACAGGCAACATCAAAATCAAAAACCCATTGTTATAGCACAGGCAATAAGTGACATGTAATACCACACTTTCTTTCTTACTGGCAACATGGAAAACAGGAAAGAACCCATGTACCTCCCCGCCTGATAGAACTAACGAGTAAAAAGCCACCCAGGAACTGCCTGGGATCAAGAGCAGACCCTGTATGCCACAACGTACCTCTTCTCCACAGAGCTCCAACAGTGAATGTCTTGTGCCAGCTGAACATCATGGAGACATTCAATTGCCATCCAAATGGAGATGTGTCCTGCAAATCTCGGTCCAGTCACTGACAGGTAGGAGGATTTGAGTGTGGCAGAGCCATTCTTCCAGCGGTCAACGCCCCTTGCTGTCCTTAGGGCTATCACTGTTTGCTTTAAATCAAATGCTCCTTGGCTCCCAGCTTTCTCATCTTATCACTGTGACAGGCTGTCTGAAGAAAGAAGGGGGAGAGAAGCAGCCCACGGAGCGATGTCTATTTTCCCTTCCCACTTTCCAGAACTATGGAGTCTTTCCTTAGAGGAAACTAAAACGCTCTCAGCGGCGGCAGCAGCAGCAGCCAGGGGGCTGTTCCTTTCAGAGGTTGCTGAACTGTAAACGGGCACACAGCCAGCAGTGACTTATAAAGGGAGCAGCCCTGTGGAATGTATCTCCTTTGGCTGATAAGCCAAGATGACTGTAGGGTTTTGAACTACCTTAGCTATCAAAGCACCCCCTGGGAAAAAAATGCCTAGCCCCTTGCATAATATCAATAAAAAAAATTCATCTCAACTTAGTGTTTAAGAGGGGGAAAGGAAAGCAAGGAATGCAGGCATTTTTCCCCTCAGGAGTAATTGTGTCACTGACTTGTACAAATCTCTGCCTTCCTCTAATAGGGCTACAGAATATTATTAAAAGGGGAGGGGGGAGCAGAAAAGTCTAAATTATTTCCAGCCCCACTGGCTTGGATTGTAGAGTTTGTGCTGCAGCCCCTATGATCCAGTGTCTGTGGAATGATTATAAAACTGCAAGCAGACGTGAAGGGCTCATTTTATTACCCAAACAGTCCTATTGCTAAGCCGCAGCTTTCCTGGAGAATTGCATGTTTGGAAGCTGGTCTGCGGAATATGTACCTCACCAGAACTATGTTTACTAATCCGTTGTCGCCCATGGAAATGTCCCGTAGGCTGAGTTGAGGCAGAGCAAAAAAACCTCAACCCAAACAGAGCCTCTCCCCTGTGTTTGCTAAGAGATTGCCTGATCCCACATTCCTCTCTGAAGCCAGACACCTATTGACTTCAGAGCCATGGGGATGAAATCGGCTATTACACCAGTTAAACCAGAGGAGTTCTGTTGATTTTAGTGGGCATAGTGCCCATGTGAAAGCTGCAGGATTGGGTCCCTGATGAGATGATAGGGTTTGTATTGCCAGCGTTTGTATTGTTGGACTGCCAGGTTTTGAGGAAGTGGATCTGGTTTGGGGACCTGATGTGTATTAGCACTGATGCAAATGCGCTGAGAAAACCAAACAGGCAGTGAACTGTCAGAAAATATCCCATCCAGCTGCCCCAGTGGCTCCCTCCATCTCCTACTTGCTACCAGGTGCCAGATTAGTCCAGCTGCACCCCTGCTCCTCTCCCCCATATGACATTCTTTATCCCCTCCCTTTGAAACAAACATTGTGGGCCAGATCCTTGCCTGGTGTAAACTGACTCTTCTCCATTGAAGTGAGTGGAGCTGTGCTGATTTACACCAGCTGCCTTTTTACAGTAGCTCAGCTTTTGGTGATATGAACCAAGAACTACCTCCTAATGAATAGTTACTATGACTAAAATCTTTAGGGCCCCCAAGGTCTGAGTTATGTCAATGAGCACAGCTTCCTTCTCCTAGTACAGCAACCAAATGTATTATATTGTCTCTATGGAAGGATGGCCCCAGAGCACTAAGACGCAAAGACCCTTATACATAGGTGGTAGCATGCTTTGGGCATGGTGGACCAAGAGATAAGCATTAAATGCATTCAAAGGCTGGGCCACTGTCCTTAATGGGCACCCAATACACACTCACGCTCCTGTAGTAAGTAAAAGAGGAGTCTGGATAGGGATGGCAGGGGTGGGGTGGGGAAGGGCACTGTTGTGCTCAGCACACTCTTAGAGACAAAAGCAAATTTATCATGCTGCCTCCTATACAGAAGATCCCAAACTAATATCAACTAGTCCCATTCAACAAGCTTTAGTTAAAGCACTCCGCCACTATTTTTCAGCACAGGGACACTGAGGCATGTGGTGCTAGAGTCTGCTGAAGCACAGTAATTACCATACTCCAACAGACTCCATTAAACTTTAGGTACATAGGGAACAGGAGGAGAACAAATGAGAATGCGGGGCCATTGCTCAGCAACTCAGGAGACCTGGTTACCAGCACCCAGGAGAAAGCTGAACTCCTGAATGACTACTTTGCCTCGGTCTTTCACCAGACCAAGAGGAAAACCATGCCAGGTAGAGTAGAGGATAAGCACAGTAGAAATAATCGCTTTCTTACTATTGCCATAGAAGTGGTGTATGACTAATATAAAAAATTAGACATATACAAGTCAGGGGAACTCAATGATCTTCATCCAAGAGTGCTGAAGGAGCTGGCTGAAGTCATTGCAGAACCCCTGGCAAAACTTTTCCACAACTTGTGGCACTCTGGAAAAGTCCCTGAGGACTGGAAGAGGGCCAATGTTGTGCCCATCCACAAGAAGGGCAGGAGGAAGGACCTGGGTAACTATAGGCCAATCAGCCTAACTTCCATCCTTGGGAAAAGCCTAGAAAAGTTCATCTAGGAGTCTATCTGCAGTAAGCTTGCAGAAGGTAAGATTCTGAATGACAGCCAGCATGGCTTCCTCATGGGGGCAGGTCTTGCCTTACCAATCTCATCTCCTTCTACGACCAGGTAACTCGCCACCTGGACATGAGAGATCAGGTTGACATTGTATACCTTGACTTCCAAAAGGCCTTTGACCTAGTCTCCCACAATGTCCTTGCAAGAAAATTGGAGGATTGTGGGCTTAACTCTGAGACAGTCAGGTGGGTGAGAAACTGGCTGCAGGATAGGAGCCAGAGAGTCATAGTGAATGGATCTGTGTCATCCTGGTGAGAAGTGGGCAGCGATGTCCCGCAGGGGTCAGTGCTTAGTCTAGTACTTTTCAAAATCTTTATTAACAATTTGGATGTGGGAGTGAAAAGCTCACTGGCCTAGTTCGCGGATGACTCCAAGTTATAGGGGAACATGATCACTGTTGAAGATAGGCTATAGTTACAGGCAGACCTAGACAGGCTAACAAGTTGGATGGATCACAACCTGATAAAGTTCAACGTCGAGAAATGTAAAATGCTCCACTTCAGGACGAGCAACCTGCAACACACCTACAGGTTTGGCGGCACTAAACTGACTAGCACCACCAGTAAAAGGGACCTAGGGGTAATAATAGACCACAGTATGAATATGAGCCAGCAGTGTGATGCTATAGCCAGTAGGGCAAATAATACTCTGGCATGCATCAATCGATGCATCTCCAGCAAAACCAAGGAAGTGATTGTTCCACTCTACTCAGCACTGGTGAGACTGCAGGTGGAGTACTTCATCCAGTTCTGAGCACCACACTTTAACAAGGACATGGACAAGCTTGAGAGAGTCCAAAGAAGAGCCACCCATATGATCAGAATCTTAAAAAGCAAGCCATACGAGGAAAAGTTGAGAGATCTGGGACTCTTCAGCCTGAGGAAAAGAAGGCTGAGAGGGGACCTGGTAACATCGCTACACTAGGGGAGTACAACAAGGGCTCGGTGAGCAACTCTTCACCAGGGCACCCAAGGGGAAAACCAGGAGTAATGGCCACAAATGCCTGGAAGATCAATTCAGGCTCAACATTAGAAAAACCTTCTTCACAGTCAGGGTGTCCAGATTTTGGAATAAGCCCCCTCCAGAGGTGGTGCAATCACCTAGCCTGGAAATCTTAAAGAGAAGACTAGACAGTCACCTTGCTGGGGTCACCTGACCCTTAGTTATCTTTCCTGCTTGGTGCAGGGGGCTGGACATGATGATTTTTGAAGGTCCCTTCCAGCCTTACAATCTATTAATCCAATGCACTGTGAGCAGACTCAATTAATCTATCCACCTTACAGTCCACTCATCCTGCCCATAATTCCTCAGCTTGCTTGTAAGAAGGCTGTGACAGACAGTATCAAAAGCCTTGCTAAAGTCAAAGTATATTATGTCCTCTGCTTTCCCCGCATCCACAGAGACAGTTATCACAGAAGGCAATCAGGTTGGTCAGGCATGACTTCCACTTGGTGAATCCATGCTGACTGTTCCTAATAATCTTCTTCTCCAAGTGTTTAGAATTGGATTCCTTGAGGATCTGCTCCATGATTTTTCCAGGGACTGATGTGAGGCTGACTGGTCTGTAGTTCCTAACATCCTCCTTCTTCTCTTTCTTAAAGATGGGCACTATATTTGCCCTTTTCCAAACATCTGGGACCTCTCTCAGTCACCAAGAGTTTTCAAACATAATTGCCAGCAGCTCTGTAATCACATTGGTTTTGGGGGTTTTGTTCCCGCTATTTTGGGTGCATATATTGTACTGCTGATCAGCAACAAGTCCCTTGACACAAGTAAAAGTAGGGTTTTCTGTTCTTGGAGGTTAGGCCATTTCTCTTTCTCTACTAAGACTACTCAGAAATTTTCTACAAAGCATAGTTCTGATTCAAAACACCAATTCATTTAGCCTGAAATGTGTCATTCCATACATCAACCAACTTGCACCAACGCCAAGGCAGGATTCCAGTGGAGCCCTGCCTGGATTCCTAGCAGACCACCCCAGCATTGGGATCTGATGCTTTCAAGGTCCATGCCTCTGAGGCAGAACTGCCAAGTGGATCATCCCTAAACTAGTGGGTCCAGTGCAACAGAGCTCAAGGCAGCCAGTCATGATAAACTTTCACACTTTCTTCTGTGAAGCTGGAAGCCTCAGAGCCTTGTGAGCCTTTGCACTGTTCAGGGCTTAGCCCCCAGTAGCACTGAGAAATCCATCTGGAACTGGGCTCAGAGTTTCCAGACTCCCTGCCAGCCAAACTGGGGCTCAGAGCCTAGAAATTCTCAAAGGGTTCCCAGGATCTCTGCTACAAATCCATATTGTGGGACTGGGAGCCTGCTGCAGCTGCTCAGAGAATTTATCATTTTCAGTTTCATGGCCATAAATAGCAGTGAAGAAAGTAAAAACAATGCTGATTTTTCTGGTTGCTACAGGCTCCAAGGAACCTGTTTCATTTAATCTGTTCTGATGTTTCCAAATTGTCTCAGCATTTGTGGTTCACAGAGAATCTAGAAAAGGTTTGGTTTCAGATTGGTTCAGTGCAAAACCACATTTCAAAAACCCTAAGCTTCCCACAAACTAGAAACCCCTTTTTTTGGCCAGCTCTCTCCTTTCCCACCTTTCAGTAACATTTCTTGGGCTGGTGCTGTCAATGCTAGATAAAACAAATGGGGACTTCTAGAAATTGCCTGAACTGTGATCAAAAGTTAGAAATGATAATGCCAGATTGTCAGCTGATACAGATTATCATTGGTCCATTGAGACTAATGGATCTACATACCCACTTACAGTCCACTGTATCTG